TTTTTTGAATTGGTTTATTTACAAAGCATCAAGACAAAGTAACACCCTCTTACATTCACCTTTTTTTTCCACCCTCTCTGCTCAGCGCTCGCTGGAAATTTGGGGTCTTTAACAGAGGCTTTGGTGCCGGGGAATGTCCCCAAGAGCCATCCAGGACATCGCTGAGCATCCTCAGGGAGCTGGATGGGCACCGAGTGCTCCTCCGGCTGGACCAGCAACCATCAATCAATCCCTCTTGGGATTCTGCTGCCTCAGGATTTTCCAGCTCCGGACAACAGCAGTGTGAAGCCCTGGCACGGCGGGACACTGCAGATGCCATCATTTCATACCGAAATGAAGCCTTCCCTGTAAAACGGGCAGGGCCTGAAGGGGGGAGAGCAGCGTCCAGATCCAGCCCCGGACATTCTGGGGGTCTCAGAGGGCAGAGGGGGCACCCCGGGACCTCTCCCCGGGTGGGTGCCCACCCTCGTCCCCCTCGCCGGGAGCAGCCGCTCACATCCCCAACTTCGCTCGGGATGCTGGCGGCCAGGTGAGCCACCACGGGCACACGGGGCAAAGAACACCTTTCGGGCGTGGAAAAGAAACACCCTTTGGGGCAAAGCAGCGCGGCTCCGGAGCCCCTGCCGGGGGTGCAGCCCTGCCCAGCTGTCCCGGCCGCAGCAGCTCAGCATCACCCCTCGCCAGGCGGGGGAAGCCCCCAGCCCACCCTGCCCCCTTCCCTTTACCTGCTGCCGCTGGGAAATCCGCCGGCTCCCCGAGCCCCGGGAAGGGCGAGGCCGGCCCCGGCGGCAGGGCTGTGCCAGGGCCNGCGGGGCGGGCGCTGGGCCGGGCGGCTCCGCCCCGGGCAGCGCGGGAGGAGCGCTCGGACCGGAGCAGCAGCAGCAGCAGCAGCAGCAGGAGGAGGAGGAGAAAAGGGAGCTGCAGCCAGCCGTGGGCAGCTCTGCTCTTTGGGGTGTCCCCCGGCTGCCAGCGAACCCCACAAGGGTTCGGGTTTGGGGCCCAAGGGAAAGGTCGGGGCAGCCCTGGGGAGGGGAGTGCTTGGCACCGTGCCAGGGGGGTTTGGGAATGCTGAGCCCATAAAGGGCAGCGAGCAGCCGGGAATCACACAATGGGTTGGGGGAGGTAAAGGACCCTAAGGATCATGGCATTCCAAGCTCCCTTTCCGCTGTCCCAGGTTGTTGCAAGCCCCGTGCAGCCTGGCGCTGCACACTTCCAGGGACGGGGCAGGCACAGCTTGGGGTAGGAGGGATGTTGTGTGTTCCCACCGAGGCGGATAAAAAGTGTCAGGTGGGGGTTTGGGCTTTACAGCCTCCTGATTTCTTCCCCAGATTTTGCAACTCACCCTTCATTGTTTCTACCCCCGTTATCGCCTGCACCCGCTCCCACGTTAGGTCCTGAACTCCCAGGCGTGCAGGTGGAGCTGATCTCCACACCGAGGCCAACCGGGGTCCCTGAGTTACAGCATTTCGGGGGAAGGATGAGTGTTCTGTTGGATCTACACCATGCTCAGGACTTGTTTCCCTCACGCTGCAGCAGCACAGGTTATTTGGGACGAGAAGGATGCCCAGTTGTGCCCAGCACTGTGGCCAAAACTCAGCTGTGTCCTGGCTGTGAATCCTTTGCCCTTCTTGATGCAAGGTGACAAAACACTTGGCTGACAGCAATGGATTAATTTATTTTTTTCCCTGCAAATTGGCCATTTTCCACTTTTTTTGGCCCAGCCCTGAAGTAGAGATTGATTCAAGCAGTGCAAAAGGAAGGGATGTGCTGTCAAAATAACAAGCAAGCACAAGCCAAATGCCAGACTCCTCTTTACTGAGGCAGACTAAGCTGAGAGGTCGCTGGCAACTGGCTCTTTTCTTAGGAGAAGCAGAAATAATCCTGCTGCACCCAGCAGTAGGGAATGACTGGGGGTGAAAAATCAGATTTTAGAATCTGATCCAAGCAACGAGCAGCACAGCAGAGGAGCTGTGGGGCTGAGGTTCAGGCAGCTGTCCTGACAGCTCTTTGCCAAGTGCTTCTCCTTCCAGCACTGCTGACAGGAGACATTTCAGAATCACGAGCCTGAGAGCTGTGATTACCTTAAATCCTGATGAAAATCTGTCCTGTGGGAGCATTTTATTTGCTGCCTGGTTGTGGGTCCACAGCAGAGCTTTAGGATGTGTTTTCCTGCAGGCTTGGGGGTGGATGTGCAGGAGGGGACAGGACAGATGCAGATATTTCAAGGCACGTAACAAAGTCTGGTGCCTTTGCCAAACTTTAAACATCCTTGGTTTTGTGCCTAAGGATTGCCTTTTAACTTAGCAGAAAGAGTTCAGCCTTTCTTAAGATCAAGGGGAAAATATTTTTTTCTGGCACCAAGAGGAAATATTTTTCAAACTCATGAGGTTCCAGAAATCCTGCAGATGCTCCCAGCACCATCCAGTCAGTTCTTTACAGCATCCATTTGCTGAGGAAAATGCCTCTGAAAAGACACAGAGTTTGCACATTTTCAGAATATTTCTGTGACTTGGCCGCTTGAATCCGACACAGGATCCTGCCAGGATGCAGGGCTGGGGAAGGATTTGTTCTCCAGCCACCCCAAGCAGCTGTGAGGACCACAAAGATGAGCAGAAGGACCATCTTTGTCCCCTGAAAGCAGCACTTTGGCTGCTAAGGGCCGTGCAGTGTCAAAGAAAAGTCACTGAAGGAAATTTACCATGAATTTCCATGCAGCCTCCAGGAAAACGGATGCAATTTTGGACAGAGAAGGTTGGTTTCAGATTTATAAGCTCCTTGTCCCGTGCTGAGAGCCTTGAATGCTCAAAGCTACTTTAAATATCTCCCTTTGGCATGGCAGGGATTTCTGCTGTGCTCATTCCTCACATTTCCAGCCAGCTTCATTTCCAAAGGATGCAGCTCTAAAGCCCTCCTGAAAACCCTCTGGACCCTGGGGATACTCCCTGTGTGTGATTCCCTTTTTAAGCTGCTCCTTTAGGACCTGGCTCGGCTCTAAACCAGGGCTGAGTTTTGGGATTTCACACCACGTCCTGGAAGTGTTTTGTTACGTGCTTATGGAAGGGAAAATGCCTCCAGAAGGGACATTTTTGTTTCCTGGCAGGGAAATACGAGGGCATCAAGGCAAAGTCTCAGAGCAGTCAGTGCTCTGGTGTTTGGTTGGGATGGATGGGGAGGGAGGTGATGCAGCTTCCTACAAGAGTGGGGATCAGGAGGAATGGGCTGATTAATCCTGAAACTCAGCACCAGCCTCCTCCAAGAAAAAGTGCTGTTCCATCCCCTGTGGAGGCAGAAAAAAGCCCTTTTTCCTCCTCCCAGGCTCACTCCTCCTCCCAGGCTCACGGTGGGGAAGTCTTTACTGGAGAAACACTTTCCTGAGCAGTCCTGATGACCCAGACACGGCCTTGGACACTTCCAAGGATCCAGGGGCAGCCACAGCTGCTCTGGGCACCCTGTGCCAGGGCCTGCCCACCCTCACAGGGAACAATTCCTCCCTGATATCCCATCCATCCCTGTCCTCTGGCAGTGGGAAGCCATTCCCTGTGTCCTGTCCCTCCACCCCACATCCCTCTCCAGCTCTCCTGGAGCCACTTTAGGCACTGGAAGGGCTCTGAGGTCTCCCTGGAGCTTTCTCAGAGAAGTCAGAGCATGTTGGATGTTCCCTTTTCTGCATTTGCTGCTGCACTTGGGCAGAACAAGGCAGGGTCTGGTGACAGCACAGCAGATTCCCCCACGGCTTTTTGGGGCAGAGCAAGGAACCCCTGCTCAGTTGCCACATCTGGGCAGTGGACACTGAGCAAGGCTGGGAGATTTCAACATCCCACAGATGAGGCAGAGAGGAAAGAAAAGGATGCAGAAAGCAAGGCTGGATTTACTGGGGGATGTGGAGCTGTGTCCGTGTCTGTGCCTGAGCAGAGGAGCTCTGGAGGCAAACCCTGGCTGTGGCTGGAGCATCCGAGCAGCCTGGGCAGGGGAAGGAAGCGTGCAGAGGGACACACCATTGTTCTGCCAGCTCCACTTCTTGGGGAGTGCAGGGCAAACGGGAGGGAGCTCTGTGCTTTCCTGTGTTTGTGCTGCAAATATTTTCATTAAGGTCCTTCTTCCTACCTCTTTCTCCAAGGCTTTTGTGTCTCTAATAAGTGCGAGGAGGGTGTTGATTGGAAGTGTCCCCTCAGGAATAATTATTTTAACATAATAACATTTACAGGGAGGGCTTGCAGAGCCACTTTCCTGATACATCCTCTGTATTTCAACCTCTCTTTCACATTTTTTGCCTCCTCAAGCTGCTCCAACAAGCCCTTGCAAGGTCTCCATCCCTGCAGCACAAGCCATGGTGAACTGGTGAGCCCTGAAGAGAATGCTGAGGGTGAAAATGGGAATATTTGATGTTACCCAGCAACTGAAAATGAAGACATCTTTTGTCCACCAAGTCAGGAAACACTTTTTGCACAATAGCTGTGTTTGCCTGCTCTGGGGGAGTCGGCCATCAACCCCTTCCAGGAGATAAAAGGGATGTACATAAATAGGGGGAAAGTCACTGGCAGGGATAATTGGAGCAGGTAAATCAGGTCCCTGTCACCCTCAGCATCCCCTGATGACTGCACTGGAGTCTTGCAGTGTGGGGGAGGAAATAGGGATGGCTCAGTCATAAAAATAACAGGTAAAGAAATATGAAATACATATAATAAATATAAAATGGAGAAGATCTGGAGGAGCCAGGAGCAGTTTTTGTGGTGATGGTGACCCACTGGCAAGGTGAGGAATGTTGGTCTCCATCGACGTTTCTCAGGATGAAGAGCACCCTGTGCCCTCCCACCCCTCTGAAGCCCTAAAGGATGTTGCCCTGTATCATTGTCTTGGGGCAAACATCTCCTGGACTGGCCCCACAGCCCTTCAAAGCAGTGGAGAAACATGGATCTACTCAAAGGGGAGCTGGGCAGTGTCCTGACAAGGACAGTCACTGCCACAAAGGGTCCCCCTGCTGAGCTGGTGGCAAGACTTAGTCCTGTGTCCCAAGCCTCTGGCCTTTTATTTGCTGGCAGTTTTTCCCACATTAAATACACAATTGGAAGGAATGAAGCCATCCATAATCTCCAACTCCTGCTCACAGTATCAAGTTTAGGATAAACCAGGTCTCCTGTGGAAAAAAAAAAAAAATTAAAAAAACCATGTTAGTGTGGCATTTCACAATATGGTTTATATGGTTTAGGGGCATGGTGGGATTTGGTCCAAGGTTAAACTTGATGATCTTGGAGATCTTTTCCAGCCTTAGTGATTCCATGATTCCAGATACATTGGGAGAACTTCAGGGCATGTAAGTAAAGCAATCTCTGAATTAATTTGTTTTATATTAAACTTTCTTTAACAGCATTTTCCAGTGCAATCCACTTAATAAACAAATGCAGCTGAAACAGCAAGGGAGGAAATATATTTGTCATTATGTGGTGCAAGACTTGCCTGCCCTGTGAGAAGGAGCTTTACCAAAAAGTGCTGCGTGCACACAGGGCTGCTTTGTTCCTCTGCTCCCTGCCCACCCAGCCCTCTTCTCCTCACCAACACATTAATCAGAGCCTTTTGGCTGAGGCCTTTGTTCTGTGCCTGCACAGGAAGGCCTGGGCTCATGGATCACATTCCTGGTGCCAGCAAGGGATGATCTTTATTGACAAACCCATCATCGATCTGGCTCCCCCCCGGAGGACTTTCACCTGCTCCAGCTCTGGCCACGTTATGGATTTACACGTGATGTCTGGATACAAACACAGGCTCACAGTCAAACCCTTCAGGGATGTGCTCTGCTCCAGTTAATATTAAACACCTTTGGAGATATCTCTGCATTTCTCCAGGCTGGGAGGAACCTGCTGCATTCTTCTCATAGCTCCGTTGCAGGTACTGAAATAAAATCCCTGACCTGGATCCCTGAACAAAGCCCCTGTTATTCAGCCAGGCCAGGGGGAGCATCAGTTTTCTAATCCTCTCCATCCCAGAGTTTTCTTGGATGGAGATGTGGAGTTTGACCCCAATCACAGGGGATGAAAAACCCATCCCAGTCTCAGCTCAGCCTGCCTGGGATGGAGCGTGTGTGCACACACACTGCTGAAATTAAACCCCCAGAGTTCAAAACCTGTCTTAAAAATGTTATGTGAATCCATTTCCCTCTGTTTCTAATAAAACAGCAGCAAGTTTTCTTCCTGTTACAGTGTAATGTTGTTCAGCAGTTTATATCAATTTCTACAAATTTAATCTGTAAATTGCTTTTTGATGGGTGAAGCACAGCACCTGCATTCAGCTTTCCAATCATCAGCAACTGTGCACGAACACCCTTCTCTGTTAAAGCCAGAGTGGTATTTTGGGGTATATTTGGCCCAGGAGGGATTTTTTAAAAGAGCTTGGAAAGATGAGTCCTCCTTGCACAACACCAGTTTTTGGGTGAGCACCTCAGAATAGGACTCACAGATTGATGGAATATTCTGAGAGCATCCAGGACTGTTCCCAGCCTGTGGTCAGAGCAGGGCTGGGCAAAGCAGCACCAGAACATCCCACATTGCTGGGATGGGAGCGGGGGCTGCACCCCCAGCTGCAGGCACAAGTCTGTGTCTGGGGGATGGATTTTTCCAGCCTCAAAGATGGAAAGCACTTTGCCTTCGTCTGCTGGAGTATGAAATCCACCAGTGGCACTGGGATGCTTTGTGCCAGCCCCAGTGGGAAGGAGGGAACAGCATCCTTCACTCTAACCTGCTCATGCTGAGCTCCATGTAGGAGAGGTGAGGATTAACTCAGTCCTAGGAGAGTACAAGAACTTGGGGGTCCCCACACTGAGGGATGAGCAGGAGGGCAGGGTAAGCAAGGCCTAAATGTCCTGCCCTCCTTTCTCCAAATGAATCCAAACCACCTCCCAAGCCAGGCCTGGATGACTCTGAACTTGTCAAGCCTCACACAAAAAATCTTTCATCCAGCCAGGTTTGGGAAAGCCCCCAAAATGCTCATTTGGCCCATTTCAGTTCAGCTCTTGGATCCCAGGCCAGGGCTGTGCTGCCATCCAGGAGGCTCTCCCAGCCCAGAACCTGCTGGGCTCGTCTTGCTCCCAGCTTCCTGCTCACCCTGCCAGGAGCTGATCCCAGGAGGAGGTATTTCAGCCAGGCAGCCTCCCCAGCTGCATGGAGAGAGCAGAGAAACGCTTCCAGCCTTTCCTGCTGGGGCCAGACCTGCCCTGGATTCTGCTGCCTTCACCTTGAGCTTCCTCTCCTCTTCCTGGCCTTGAAGGCTTCTCCCTGCTCCAAATCTCTGGAGTTTCTGATGCTGCAAATGCACCTCTTCACCCTCCTGTTGCCAGCCCAGCCCAGAAGTTGCGTTTCCCACCCCAAAACCTCAGCTGGGGTCCAAGTCCACCCCAGAAATCACCTCATTCTCTGACACCATGAAGGGACCAGCGCCAAGCCCCTCATCTCCAGCAGCAGAGCAGAGGCAGAGCCAGGGAATCTCCACTCCTCGGGGCAGATTTCCCCTCCTGCTTTGTGGGACTGGCCAGAGAGGCCTCCAGATGTTTGCTTTGACTCTGAGGTGACACCTGGGGTGGAAAGGTCACAAGCAAAACACTGGCAGTGTTTCCCCTCCGAGGCCAGCAGCCACCAGCAAGCTGTGCTGGGCACTGGGACTGTAATGAGGAGAGCAAATATTATCCTCCACAGGTGTCACGAGCTGCTGCTGCTTTGAAATGCTGCGAGAAAAGCCTCCTTAAATAGCTGGGATTCCTCCCACCAGCACAGGGATGAGAGGAATAATATTTGGGAGAGGAACACACCCCAAATGATGGCGTCTGTGTGAGGGTGGGAAGCAGAGAGCAGCCGGCATCTCCTGGCCACAGATGGTTCCCATCAAGAGGAATTTTTTCTTGTTAATCCCAAAACAAGCTTGGGATGTATTTTTATTTCAGTGTTAAGAGGAGAAAAAAAGAAAGTCTGACATGACCCCCTGTTTTTCTGGCCTCACTCCCTGCTCAGCCTCTGCTCTGAGCAAGCACAAAAAATTTAGCTCATGTTAAAGGCAGGGACTCTGAGAACAAAAAATCCTGGGATGGTCCTTCCAGCTTTTCTTGACCTGAGAATTTATTCCATTCAAGCTGGAAATGGAGGTAAAAATCTAAAGCCTGGCTGTGTATTTGAAGCATCCTGTGGTGCTCCCTGGGCTGTTCATCAAGGCACAGAGGACCTCCAGGTGCCTGTGGGGGTGTCAGCACGGGTGTCCACTCTCCCTTTTAAATCTTAAACTTTCTTTGAGCACCAGGGATGGGCTCCTGAGCCAATCCACTCCCAAAGCCACCACATGAGCTCAGGATATCTCTAGCTCAAAAAAACCCCAAAATAGTGATAAAAATTGCAATCAGTGGGAGGACTGGGAATTAATTCTACTCAAAAGACATCCCAAGACCCTGCTTTGAGGACTTGCCTGGCATTCCTCCGTGGCCTCCCTGGCATGTTGGATGCCATAGCTCCACAATCTTCTCTGAGGGAGCTGCCAAGAGGAACCCCTCAGCATGTCTCAGGAAGTTTCCAAGGACAGCCATGAGTTGGGGATGTGGCATCCCTCCCAAATAATCAGCTGTGTGCCATCTGAAAGGATTCACATGGAAGCAGGGCCAGGAAATAATTTCTTCTCATGGAGTGACACTTCTGGTCTATGGTGGTGGCCTCTCATTGGGAATTTTCTTTCAGACAGAAGAACTTCCTGGGATATTTACACCCCCAGATGAGACTGGGCATCCCCTCCTCCTCTCTGGCAACTCCCTGGAGTGACTCAGGATGTGCAAACACTGACTCACCCCATCCTCCCAGGAGCATTGAACGTCCCACACGCTCCAAGACAGGGTGGTGGGAGAAGGGGAAGGCTCCATTCGGCCTCCCCTGTGCCCTGAGGGAGGACTGCAGATGCATCAGCAAGGTGGGGCAGTCAGGGCAGGCTGGGGCAGCCAAAGACCCTCTGGACAGGGATGTACAGAGATAAGGGGATCCTGGTGTGGCAGCTGCTGGCCAGTATGGGAAAAGTGGATTGGGAACTGTCCTCCAGGACATGCTCTTCTGGCTCAGGATTGGTTTAGGAAGAAGGATTTGAAAAGCTGAGGAAGAGGATCGGGAAATCCAGGGTTGGTGTCTTGGCAGCTGCAAAGTGTGGTGGCACTTGCAAAGTCAGCTTGGCTGCACAAATCCTGGATTTCATCAGGATGTGATTATTCCATACAAGGATAAAAATAGGTGGTTTCTGCAGCAAACAGCGCCACTGAAAAAGCTGCCAAGTTCCAGAGTCTGTGACCACCCACTGCAAATCCTGCTGGAAAACTGGAGGAACCTGGACCTGCTCACCAGGGATGAGGTGGATGGTTCTTCTGGAGATCTGATATTTATATGGACATTCAGATACGTAACTGGTCATCCTAAAATGCTGTTGTACATTGTGGGGAGCTCTGTGGGGCCGTGCCCATTCCCTGGGGAGCCTGGGCAGTGCCAGCACCCTCTGGGGGAGGAACCTTTCCCTAAAACCCAACCTAAACCTCCCCTGGCACAGCTCCAGCCCTTCCCTGGGATCCTCAGACACCAGGGTCCTTTCTCTGCCCTTCCAAGGGGCAGGATGGAGCTGGGACAGATCTCCAGGGGACACCTGAGAAAGTGAGGGCTCCTGAGTGTTGTCCCTTCACAGCAGAAGGGATGTGAGTTGTGACATCCCTGCCCATCACAGGCCATTAAAGATTACAGCCCAGCCAGGCCAGAAGGATTGTAGGAGTCAATCCCATTTAAGCCCTTCTATTTAAAGGAATAAACTACCCAGGGGAAAAGCAACCTAAGATTAGAAACACACAGGATTTCCTCAAATTCCAGCCATCAGCTCCAGATTCAGCCCAAGGGGGTGGTTTATTATTCCCCCGAGCATGAACCCTGCACCCCAACAAAGTTAAGTTTGGATTATATTGTGCAGCTCCATCACAGCCCCAAAAGCCATGCTCAAAGCTGGTTTAGTGCTGCTCCCTCTCTGCCTAAATCATCTCCAGTATTTCTTGATTAAAAATAGTTTTTTAGGCAGGAGAGTTTTGGGTTTTTGCACAAGCAGGGGATGTTTCCTACAAATTCCATATTGCTCAGGAGGATGCTC